TACCACATTGCCTTATTTTCTTTGTTATTTTTAAATATTTTTTATTTGAGCCATTCTCACTTTTTCCTATAACTCAAAGCTCTCCGTTATTCCCAGAAAAAACTGTATTTCGCCTGTATCTCTTGGCTCCGCTCCCTAGTAAATATGCATGCATGAAACCAAATTTTCAGCTTGAAATTCACTTTTCAAAGAAGAATAAAGGAGCAAATAAAATAGAATAAGAATACAAGTATAAATGAGGGGAGAAGTCTGTCATCTGAGGACTGAGGAAAGAAAAAAGCTTGAAAGCATTTTCAGACTTTGCTCCTTCCCACTGAATTTCCCGCATTCCATATTTTAGCCAATTTATCTACCACATTGCCTTATTTTCTTTGTTATTTTTAAATATTTTTTATTTGTATTTTATGAGGTTGTTTTGAGAGCATTTCACGGCTTGCATTTGGAACTCTAAATATGAATGTGTATGAAGTATTGTTAAGTAAAAAAAAACAACATAACAACAACAATAATAATAATAATAATAATAAAAAAAACAAAACAACAACAATAATAATAATATAATAATCTCCATAGACAATTGTTGGAAAAGTGGTGACAGGAATTTCCCAAAAATTCTCTTACCCTCTGCATTGATATTTGATGCTAGATAAAGTAAGATTTAGATTCTCTGCCTAGCCTTTAACAAGGGGTTTAACATGTTGTTTACCAGGAGCTCATGAGAAACTGGATTTTTCCGGCTGACAGATTGTGTCTGGCATCTCATGTGGTGACATGTGATGCCGTGGGGAGGGGGATGGGTGGTGGGGGCTTCAAATGGTGATGCAATCAGGCATGGGGGCCAACAGGCTGCCATTATTTTTTCTGTGTCCCCAGTATGGCCGCAGCCCCCTGCACCTGGCCTCGCATAAAGGTCACACAGAGGTCGTGCGTATTCTGCTGCAGGCCGGCTGTGACCCAGACATAGAAGATGACGTACGTCCAGACCCTGCTCTTTCACTAGTTACTTATTTCAATGTAAAATGGCCTAAAATTGTGTTTTGTTTCCTCAGTATTGTACAGTGTAACTCTTGGGAATCATTTAGATCTACGGTACATTATTAGAATTTCTTCTAGAAAATGCACTGCATTAACTGTTTGTTTTGTTCTGCAACTACTACTGCAGATCAAACACAAAATCAAGCTATATACACTTTCAGGCCAGTCCCAGTAAGAAAATGTCCTGCTTGACCTTCAGAATTACCCCCCTAACCCTCTTGCTGATCATTTGATTGTAATATATATAACACAGAAATGGAAACAGTTGCTATTAGACTGACCTCTAGTGGCCAAGGATAGTGTTTTCTGGGCTATTTGCAACCAGTTGTCTATTATTACAAGTTAATTACTATTATTCTGCGCTAACAGCTTGAGATTCTGAAAAGGTTCAATGAATTATAATCAGAATTGCACTTAAAATAAAATGTAAAATCTCTGAACCAAGCTCTGTACCTTGTCCCTGCTACAGGGCGGACAGACAGCCTTGCATAGGGCTGCTGTGGTGGGGAACACGGTCATCATCAAAGCCCTCATCCAGGACGGCTGCAGCCTGGACAGGCAGGACAAGGTGCGTACTACAGCCATGTGGTCCACCACAGACAGGTGTGGCGTGCTGTGTGCACTGTAACTGTTATTAAAGGAACCATAGTGGAAACCTAATGGTACCTGGGAACAGTCCATTTGCTAAAATAGTCTTGTGGTAGTATACTAGCCTGAATTGCTCAGGTACAAAGAAATATACGCTTAGATCCATACCAGCAACAGCAACAGTAATAATGCATAACAACAACAAAACAACAGTAATAGTAATAATAATAACAACAATAAAACAATAATAATCATAATAACAATAACAACAGAACAATAATAGTAATAATACCACTAAGAACAACAATAGTAATAATAACAATAACAACAACAATATAGTCATAATAACAACAATAATAGTAACAACAACAACAAAACAAAAATAGTAAACAACAACAACAATAATAACTGACAGATTCAGTTATTATTCTGTTTGACAATCACGCATAAGGGATGTGTGTCAGTCTTACTGTTTGTTTTTGTTGTCGTTTCCATTTCTGCTCTGCTTAGGATGGCAACGCCGCTTTGCACGAGGCCTCCTGGCACGGATTCAGTGAGTCTGTCAAGCTGCTGGTCCGAGGAGGAGCCAATGTTCACGCCAAAAACAGGGTGAAGAGGACAGAGACAAACTGAGGAGTGAATAGTGTGCCTGAACCTGAAAGCATTCATGTTTAGCTTTTAGTGCAAGTTGTTTTTTGTGCAGACGGAGAATGACTTTTTGTTTTTTTAGATGTCTGAATTTGGTTGCTAGTGTACAAGCTTAGACATTTGTGCCTTCTCTCCCTTGGTCTTCAGGGGGGTAACACAGCTCTGCACCTGGCGTGTCAGAATGGCCGTGCAAAGACCTTTCAAGTACTGCTTCTAGGGGGGGCCAGACCTGACGTCAAGAACAACGTAGGTTTTGGTTTTTTAACTATAGGATGCAAATGACCAGCTGTATTAACCTACTGAATCATCACTGCAAATATACACAAGTCAAAAGTTTTTATACACCACAGGTTTTTACCACTTATCCATTATTTTCATAAACTGCAGGTTTTTTATTCTTTCTAAGCACTGGAAAGTTAAGTGAACAACCATAAATGAAAATATAATTAAGATAAAACAAGTTTTCTTTATAACTTAGAAAGAGTACGTAACAGTACATGTCTGACATCCTATTACCTGGTTCTGTGGTGACGACATCGTCAAATTCTAGGCTGTCCTTTAACTTTAAATGCATCCCATGAAACAGTGCAGTGTGTAATGTCCCTTGTAGAAAGAATGCCTCGAATTTGCTCTGCTCTTATAACTGCTAGAGGAGGTTACCTTGATGAATCAAAGATATGGCATTTTCATGCTAATAAAGGTACTCAAATGGTGAATATACTGTAAATTTATTTGTTAGCAAAGAATATTGAGTGTATTTTTAGTGAGTAACATGCAAATGTAGAAAATCTCAGTGTGCGCAAAAACTTTTGCCTGGTAGTGTATTGTCTTTACAGTAGCAGTAAGATATATGTATATAATAATTATCGATTTTGATTCCAGATAGGCGATATGTGCTTGCACGTCGCCGTCCGCTACAACCATGTGGCAGTGGTTAAGGATCTCCTAGGTGCCTTCATGTCTGTGGATGAGCAGAATCAGGTGAGCATGTGTGCCGTGTCCCAGTTCTGGCCTGCTCTCGAAGGTGAAGCATATGGTGCACAGCTGGAACCTGCCAGACACTGCAAATGAATTATTTGGGTCTTCGTGTAGCGGTGACTCTTATCCAATATGTCAGCCAACATGAAGCACCCCCTTCCAGCACTGATATATGCACTGTATCTAGCTAACAGTTAGCATAGCGTCATGCACCGTGTACCCAAGGGCCTACTCTATAACCCTAGTAATGACACGTAATTGAAGTGTGTGTAACAACTCTCTCCAAACAGGTGGGGGACACTGCTCTCCATATTGCAGCCTCACTGAATCACCGGAAGGTGGCCAGGCTCCTCCTACAGGCAGGGGCTGGAACTGCAGTCAAGAACGCTGTGAGCAACTACACATTTACCTCTTCGTCTTCATCATCCTCTTCTTTAACATGGGGTTCTAATTTTACTTCATAGTCTTATTAGCAGAGGGAGATTGTCCAGAAAGTAAAAATCCAGACCACGATTTTGCTTTAACCAACCAGTTGAGTACTCTGTGACTGTGATTCTATATACTCAACTGGTTGGTTGAAGCAAAATCGTGGTCTGGATTTTTGCTTTCTGGACCAGACCTATACTGCTTATTAGACCCCTAATGCCATAGGCTGGGGAGCACAGAATGGCCAGAAGTATGACCTCATGTTCTGTGTGAAGGCAGGTCAGACCGCTTTGGACCAGGCCAGAGAGCACAACAGCCCAGATGTGGCCGTGCTGTTGGTCAAAGTCACCCAGGTCAGAGGGCAAAGGTGTACAGTAACTGCAAAAAGCACACCAGACATCCTCATGGTTCTTTACATCATGTTGTCATTTCTTCCAGGTTCCATCCGTAAAGAAACAGAAAGACAAGCTAAAAGCGGAAGGGCGTGCAAAATCCGTTATGTTTGCCAAAACGGCCACGAGAAAGGTGAGGAACACAGTCCTGGGGCACGGCTGGTCTGCTGAGGGGTCTCCAGAATGTTCATCTCTGGCAGGAACAGTGCAGAAACAGGCTAAACATGGACGCAGCTTCTCTTTTTCCACTGCAAAAAATTATGCATATCAAAATAATATAAACATATCAGAATAATATATAAATAATACAAATAAATTAAATCAAACGGAAACTGAAATAAAAACAACACAATACGGAATGATGGGACAGTTCAGAAGTTTGTGGGCTTGGGACAGATATTATATGAGTATAATTTAAAACCATAATTTGACCAACCAATTTACATACAGATATTTCAAACGATGACTTAATCCACAATGGCAGAGATGTGCTGCTGTGCCTCTGATCTACCAGTAATTCCAAACATGTTGGTGATAGTATCCGCACAATTCAGAGATAAGCCTGATGTTGGTACTGCAATCTCACATGAATCCTGTGGCCTAACAGGAGAGCGGATCTAGAGCCAGTAACACCTGCTGCGGCAGATTCATCAAAGGTGCCAAAAAGCAGCCCATGCAGAACACAGTGCCACATCAGGCTGGGAGGACCAAAGAAGGGAAGCAGAAAGAAAGGGTAAGCAGCAGAACAAGAGCTAGACCTAGTTTTAAAAAAAGGAATAACCTGTCAGTTGGCTCAGTGGCTTTTGCTGGTACTGCATATCAAATGCCACCTGCTCTGTGTAGGTGCAGTTTGCAGGTGCTCCATCTGTCGCAGGTATTTCATCAATGTAGTCCAGCGTCTTGCCTGCAGTAGGCTAACTGGAATTTCTAAATTATCTGTAATGAGATGGACTAGGATCCTGTCCAGTAAATTTCCTTCCCTTGTGCCAACTTTGGGTTGAGCATTGGGGGNGGGGGGGGGGGGGGGGGTCGAGACAAACGCATAAGTGATGATTATTGGCTAAGGAAGAGTACAAATTTATGGTAAGCCAGCCAGAGGCAGAGTTGGGCGGGTGTTCACACACACAAACACATGCACAGTCGCGCATACAAATGACTAAGAGATGCACACAGCACAGATAATTCAAAAGTAGCGTTTTTAAACTGGAAGTACAGACATTACTTTTCCCTCACTGAGATAAAAGGCAAGAATTTATATATTAAATGTACATTATGCCCAGGAACAAAGTGTTTTTCCACGTCGGTGTTGATCACAGCACAAACGCAGGTGCAGCTAAGCTGAGTTCCGCTTACAAAGAAGGAGATGGAGCTACGCCATCCAAATAGCCTAAGCTTGTTTTTTCTGCTCCACAAAGACTTGTGACATAGACAGAACTAAACAGTGTTGTTGGGAACATGCTGCCGTTATCAACAGTTGAGTCGGATTCCAAGAGCTCTTGCATAATTTAATTTTAGACTTATTTGTTGGCCAGTTGCGGCCTGTTGAGGTGCAGTAGCTACCAAAAGTTCTAAAACATCTACTCTCTTTTATTGTTCTACTATTATAAACATAATGGCAATATCTACAATAATATATTGCATTTGATATGTGTCTTGTCTCACATTGTCTCACAGCAACATTAAAATTGCGAAGATTAGTGTACAATGTTTTCTGTTAATAATTTAGTCTATTAAGTGTCATTCATTAAACATATTTTTGGAAATTGGGGAATCCAATTTCATTGACATATTTGAACATTTAAAAAAAATGTTACGCCATAGTTACTTTCCCTGGTAAAGTGATGCTTTTATAATGTTGTAACTTTTTGGGAGAAGTAACTAGGAACTATAACTAATTACTTTTTTTTTTTAAGTAACGTGCCCAACACTGATGATGACAACAACAACAACAACAATAATAATAATAACGCTTTATTTTTGTCGTTATTATTATTATTATTATTATTATTATCGTCCCTTGGCATAAGCATTGTTTTCATCGGAGCAAATACTTATCTTAATAACGTATATTTTGCATTTATAAAGTTCATAAAGTGACTCTTCTGTATATGAAATTGTAAACTGTGTAAATCATTGATTTTATCCAGCTATTCAGTTCATAGCGAATGGCTCTTAGTGCAAATGGATCAGGACCCTTGTGCAAGAATGAGCGCTTCCGATGCTTGCGCTCGCGCATCCGAAAGCGCACCGAGCTCCGCCGAGGTCCCGCGGGAGCTTGTTAGTGTTAGCTGCCGGGAGCGACTGCAAGCAGGTGGGTAATGGAGGTGCACGGCCCTTAATGGACGCCCGGGGCTGCGGCTCCATTATGCATGCTCAGAGCGCTCCTAGGGAGCAGATGGGAATTGGAGGATTGAAAGACGTTACCATTGATTTTCAGTTTCTGCTGAGGAACAAGGCTTTCGTAGATAATTTGCATTTGTGGTGCATTCAGGCAATTCAAGCTGTCTAACGGGCGGATAGGACTCATGAAACAGAATATAATACCCCTTATCTTAAATTTATATGCCCATAAAATGAATTTTGAATGTTCCACATTAACCACTTTAACAGTGAGCACCCACCAGTTTTGCAAGCTCGGCAGTTAACTATTAAGTGATACAAAAACTGTTACACTTGTGATTTATAATTTTTTATGTTTTTTTGATGATTGCATGTATATGCAATATATTTATGCATCTGAATATACACGATCACACAGAAAGTATTCACTGTAAAGGATTCTCAGGAAAAAGTTGCATTATGTTCTGAAAGGAGCAAAAAAAAATAAATCAGTCACCAAAGGAAGTGAGAATACTGGGTGAGGGGTGTGTTTTGGGGAGGGGGGGGGGCAGGTCCCTGTGAGAGAACCCACAAACACTGTCACATGACCTAGTTGGAGCTCAGGCCCAGGGTGTGTTGTGGTCACATCGAACAAAGACTCTTGTCTTGTGCAGATGCGGTGTGTCAGGAAGGCTTTGGTGAGCCACTGTAGACCAGCGTGAGGATGGACATGCTGTAGTGAGCAGACCTTCCCTCATTGCACTCGAAGCAGGTTTGATTCAAGTTCTTCTGCTGCTGGACGTCTGACTTTTCATTGATGTTACCTTCATGACAGGTATGGAAGATATCTGTTACAAAATTGCTTTTTCTTGTTTGTTTGCACTGTCACTACAACTACAACACTTTCACATTGGAAAAATACGCCACTTGTGTGATTTTTAATTATTTGAAGTATTGAAGTGTAATGTTTTCATATCGCACACACAATCGTTGAAGTACAGCATGAATTGAGGTACCCATTATGTCCATGAAGTTTGGGCCACCTGTCTTAAGATGGGACGACCCATGTAGAGGGTTCAGAATTGTTCTGACTTGCACGACTGAAGGAGAAACAGTGTGAGTGCAGAGAGCCAGAAGCACATGGATGCTTAGAGGAGTCTGACAGTTTTTAATTGAATGGGATTAATTTCCCTTGGCATAATAGAATAGAAGTTACAGCCTTGTTTCCTTTAGAATACCCACGCCCCGCCTTGGTGCTGCTGTGTATGACTGTGTTCAGTCTTAACCCATCTGCAGACCCCAAATGACCTCCTTTTTCCCTGCCACACATTTCCATTTGGCACAATGGCCTGTCACCGCTGAAAGAAGGTTGAAGGTTAGTGAGAGTGTCAGCATTTTCCCCAGGGATAGCTGGTGTACGTCGACTTTCTATCAGCCGGTCTCAGATCACATCACTGACCAAACACCCCAAACGGGATTTTTACTGGTAACTACTTACTGGTAACTTGAATCAGACCTACTAAGTTAAAAATGAGCGTTGCCCTTCCTGGAGCCCATGCCATTCACAGAGTGCACACCCAGATTCTTTTAAGCAGTCCATACAAAATCTCATGCATTGTATAGCCTCTACACAATGTATTGTTTAAAGGTACAAGAGTACTATTTCCATTCATCTGTGTATCTCCATATTTGCTTAACTAGACCATATTATCATTTACTTCCTGTTTTTTGAATTTGGTCTAGATTTAGTCCAGTTCCTCACCAGCCTGGATTCACTGATAACAGCAGCGTACTATATAAGATCTCAGTTTTCGTCAGACTTTTTCACCCACAAAAATACAGCACAAAATACAGATGGACACATACGTGAAAACACAAGTCTTCCCCATCTTGCAGAATTTCTGTTTTGCTGTTGTTTCAGAACCAGCTAAAGACTCAAACGAGCATTTGTGCTCTTCAAACATTAGACCCTGAATTTTGGATAGTTCAGCACAAAGACTGTTGCTTAGCTGCATAAGAAGGGTTGTTTCATTGTGTTTGTGCATCTAACCAAATAGCACACCGATGGAGATTTTTAAGTCATAGAACTTTTAACAAGAATATACAAAAATTGGAATCGTTGTGTTTGTAAATTTAATAGGCAAGTGTTTACAGAATTTTATTTAGTGTTGACCTGAATAAATCTTTTGAAAATGAAACAAATGGAAGATTATTCTCAACACCACACTTTGCATAAAGACACATTGTCTTTTTTCTGTTTTGAACTTCTTAAATTAGTTATAATAATTTTTTTCAACTGTGCATTGAGGATATCGACATTTCTTGATAGTTGATTTGCTAGGGAATCTGATTGATTAGGTTCCGATTGGTTGCGGCATTGTAAGTGGAAGGAAACCATTTTCTGCAGGGAATGTTGTACTGGGTATAACTAAACCACGTCATTAGGGTTTTGAGTGGGTCAGATACCCTGAGGATTACAGAGTATTCTGAATACTGATTTTAATCTGCAATCTACATAATGCACCTTCCACATTAAACCCTTTCATTTGGACCATGCATCACTTCCTAAGAACTAGGCTTAAAGTCGCTATTTATTCCATGATGGATATTTATTTAATAGTGGAGAATACCTACATGCGAATCCATCTAATCTCCATCCAATAGCAAGCCGCAGACATTTTAAATAAAAAATGTTTTTACTGTCGCACAGCACACTGGGCATTATATAGTATAGTATAGCATAGTACATCATAGTATAGTATAGTACAGTATCGCATAGCATAGCATTGTATAGTATAGCATAGCATTGTATAGTATAGTATAGTACAGTATCGCATAGCATAGCATAGCATAGCATTGTATAGTATAGTATAGTATAGTATAGTATAGTATAGTATAGTATGATAAACTTCCAACCCAGCAGTTGTTTCTTGGTTGGTCTAGTTGTGCTTCTGCTGAAAACTTCCTCTACTTGCTAATGTTATTATTTTTGTGGTTTGGTGTAAAATGGCACAAACAAAGCTGTCCCACTATCATCTGTGGGCTTTTAGCTGGAATGTCAGCTCTGCTCACACACTTTCTCCCACAGGTGTCTCCCAAGACTCCATCACCCCCCCTTCCGATTCATGAGCCAGCAGGATGCTGCAGTCCTCGCACTCTCAGAGAGGCTCATCGTCGCCTCCTACAGGGGCCAGGCAGAGAATGTTATTCAGCTCATCAACAGGGGCGCGCGAGTGGCTGTCACCAAGGTAACTAGGAGAGCAGCTTGAGCCACGCAGCAAAAGCAGTGCATGTCAGGCTGACGGGACAGCATGCGCAAGCATTTCTATGGCAATGTCAGTTCTTTCACTGAACGTCAGGTTGTTGTATGAAGGTTGTTGGTTCTAGTCCCTGCAGGAGTTCTTCTGTATCCAT